TTGCCACAGTCATTGCATTCTTTGCATGTGCTGCACTTTATTTGTACCATTTTGTTTTATTAGTTTATTTATTAGAATCTGAAAGATAATAACAATATTGATTGATAAGTGAGATCTGATTTTAGCCCTTGAAAACCAAAAAAGTAGTGCAAGTCCTTGAAAGTCCTGGAATTTGATTTTGCAGTATCTGTACGAACCCTGTTTAAGTTACCAGTTCTTGGACCATTTTACTGTTTTTGTTGTTATTAATTGAACTCAAATAACCCTGTGTATGTGTCTGCCCCCGCAACCCCCAATCCCCGGAAAAAATCAGGCTTTAACCCCTGATATATATGTATATGTATATGTATGTATGTAGTATGTATGATGTGTGTATGTGTGTGTGTGTGTGTCTGACTATAAGACCACATTGTTGTTTTTTCTGCTTATATTTTGGTTAACAACTACTAGCATGCTGTGCGCTTACAATTGTACTTTATGGTCTGTCATCCAACAAGAAATGTCTGTTAGACATGCTGAGATTTATATTTATATTTAATTATATATTAATATATAATAATATTTTAAATACAGTATTATATAGAGACCTGATTACTGCTTTGACAACTTTTCACCAACTTGCTAACAAATTCTTTGAGGATTTTTCTAGCTGTGATTTTTAATATCTTATTATTTAATTGGACTTTACAAGATTTTGGATAAAAATGCAAAATAAGTTTTAACTGCAAAGTAATGAGCGTGTTTGGCTCAAAAAAAAAAAAACTTTCTTTGTGACAGACTGAAGATCATATGGAATGTTTACTGTTGCATAATGTGTTATATTTCACATACCATTTAAAATGTGTAATATTTGTATTTGGTGTGTACTGTGCAATATGCAGTAAGCAGTAGGTTAGTACTCCATTCAGTTTCAGGACCATGTGATGGTGCAGAGACAGAGAGATGGTCACATTCCTCTCAACTGACCTGGTTGATCAAAGCAAGGCATAATAATAAAGTCTGATCCACAGCCAATTACAGCTAAGAACTGTTCACTTAGGCAGGAAGGGACTGCTGGACGTGCAACAACCACCCACAGTTGTTACGGGACGGCTAAATCAATAAAATTACTGTAATAGATTGATGTTCAACAAAGTGGGAGCTTATTCAAATAATGACACAGCACTCTCCACAAACAGTGCAAGCGATAGTGAAGAAATGAATACATATTTTTGTATAGACTTTGTGGTTTCCGCCAATATTTTACCACCAATAAAGTGTATACATACATTTTATATACACCTTGTATACATGCATTGTTTTTAATTAAAAGTTTTAGCCCTAAAGAAATGAATAGTACTTATGTACTGATATGTTTATGATGATGTCATGTTAGTAGCCTTAACCTAATAAAAGCTAGCCAACATCTTGAAATAACATAACTAGCTGAATAATACACAATTTATTCTATCTTACTCCCCTTATATCCAGTATTTTCACTAACAGAATAAAATATTCAATAATTAGTTTTGCATTAAATAAAAAGTGGTGGCTACAAAATATAACACAGCTAATGTGAGAGC